GTTGACGTAGTTGATCACAAAAAGGTTACCCTTCTATGTTGTGGTGAGAGCTATCCTTGTGTTGATAGCCCGAGCTCTAGACTGGGACGTGAACATCCCTTTGATGGCCGTCCAGACGCCGGCAGCAGTGTTCATATGAACAACCTGAGAAAGAATTTCACGTGAGAGTGAAAGCAAAAGATAGCTTAGTACCTGCTATTCCTGAGCAACCCATTCGGTGTAGTCAGGATTGGGAACAACAATGTCCTTCTCATCCTTTTTCACGATCTTGGTTGGAGCCGGCATCTCCTTGGTGCCGTCAACGAACCCAGCCATCTGGGCCCCTCGCAGAGTCGCAAGGACTGAGCTCGTCACAGGGAGAAGTTGCTGCGAGCCAGCTTCTCTGTCACCGGCTGCAAGAGCGCCGGGGAAGGAGCGATAGTGGAAGAAGATTACGCCATGAGGAAAAGAGGAAGAAGGCTCTGATACCATGTAAGGGTTTAACATGGATTGCCTCTCTCGGTTCCACAGTCCGTGTTATATAGCCAGAAACAGCCCCTAGCGTGGCGTGTACATAGGAGTTTACAGATTACATCTTCACCGAGAAGAAAGGAAACAGAAAAATAAGAAACAAACTAAACTCTATCTTATCTTATCATCAGATATGTTCCTATCCGAACTATCTATCTGTTTAACAGCGACAAGCTCCTCCTCCCCGTGCGCCGGAGCAAGCCAAGTCCTCCACGCGTGTGCAGCCACCAACAAGCTTCTCCTCCCGCGCGCTTTGGAGCCAGCCAAGTTCTCCACGAGCTCTTGCAGCCCGTGCGCCTCCTCGGAGCTGGCTGGCAAGCATCTCCCCTGTGCACCACCCATCCTTCCGCTGTCGATCTTCTAATGCCTCTCAGCGATGATGCCATGGAGACAAGCCAGCAGTAGAGAGGGACATCACGACGGTTCTGCATCGCGTCCTCCTCCACCTCTCCCTTCCACCGACGCCATTTTTGCTCCGCGCGCTGCCACTTTCACCGCTGCAGCCCCAACAATGCTAGTCGCTGCCACCGCTTGGGGACAGAGAGAGGAGAGCGGTGAGGAAAAAGAGGAGGGGAGAGAGGTGAGGAAAAAGGAAAAGATATTAGGATGACTAACATGTGGGGCTGTTAATTTCTTTCCACTGACATGTGGATCTTATAAGCGCCATATAGGATGAAACCGCTTGTGAAATCATCGAGGAATTGAGGAGAGCGCTACGGCTCGGACATCCGGCATCACACCAAAAATCGGACGTCTAAACGAGCGCATGTGAGAACGAACCCTCTCCTGTAAAGTATGTGCCTAGCTGTTTCTTTTCATTCTTTCCTCTCTTTAAATAGTTTTTCTTGTAAATTACTTATCCGATCTATGATCCGATCACACCGTTGTATTCGTTGCAATTAAATCTTTACAATAAAATATCACATGATTATATTATGTCAGAAGAAAAACATGTGTTTCAAACCGTTAGAATAAAATGTTTCATACGTGATAGTGATAGGTTTCAATATGTGTCATGTGTTTCACAAAATTTCTGAAATTAACTGCTACTACTCTCTCTCCACCTCATGCATACATACATGCATGTATTTTAGCAAGCTTCAAAATGATTTTTCTTTTAAATTACTTATTCAATTTATGATCCGATCACACCGTTGTATTCATTGTAATTAAATCTTGACAATAAGATATCACATGGTTATATTTTGATAAAAGAAAAACATGTGTTTCAATCCGTCAATACTTGTTGTTTCATATGTGACACCAACATGTTTCAACGTGTATCTTCACCATGTTTCATAAAAATATTTAAATGTTTCAGTTGTTGTTTTCTTTGTTTCACCATATATAAATTAATGTTTCACTTGTTGGTCAACGCTCGCCCCCGTATTGCCGCACGCCCGCGTTGCTTATGTGCCACGTTGCTTGCCTGCCCTACATGTGTTGCTTGCGCTGCTGCTTGCATACTCTCTCTCCCTCTCCCTCCTATTACACGTGCCTAATTTTTTCCACAAATTGTAAATATTTTTCTCCAACATTATATATCTGATCTAAATTTCAATTATACCATTAGATTTTTGCACAAATACTTAATAATGTTGAAATATTTTTAAATCAGACGCTACAAATCATACATTCAATATTTTTTCAAATATCGAATGCTGCTCCTCGTCTGTATGCAGGGACGCGTTAGAGGAGCGAGGTTGTCGCATGCATGCAGGAGTAGAGCTGGTTGCCAAGGTGGCCTGAGGCACTATTACTTTCTTCTCTCTCTCTTAATCGAACTTTAAACAAAATTTTATTCTAAAATATATACCCAATCTATAATTTATAAGAAGATCTCACATGAATATAATTTGATAAAAATATATATGTGTTCTAGAAAAAAACAAACTTATGTTGAACTATTTAAAAATAATTCTTTCATCAATTGTGAAGATGTTTCAACCCACTTCACAAATTGTTCCAAAGAGGTACAACATATAAAAAGTATTGATGGCACCAATAATCATTATTACATGAAACATTAAGTCTCGACTAGTGAAACATTTTTTATATTTAGATTGAAACATCGAATTATAATTATTGTTGAAACATAAAAAATGTATTTGCTGAAACATATAAAAAACATTGCTAATGTTGTCGGTGATATGTGCCCGGGGGTATCATGTTTAGAGGGAGGAGGTTGCCCCCGATGACACGTGGCCCTCCCCGGAGGGGAGTCAGGCCCGAGGTGGGGTGGCGGCCACTCCTTCCCAAAGACTAGTCGGAGGAGGCTGCCCCCCGATGCCACGTGGCCCTCCCCCGAGGGGGGAGTCAGGCCCGAGGTGGGGTGGCGGCCACTCCTTCCTAGAGACTGAATGGAGGAGGCTGCCTCCCAATGACATGTGGCCCTCCCCCGAGGGGAGTCAGGCCCGAGGTGGGGCGGCGGCCACTCCCTGGCTGAGACTAGAGGGAGAAGGCTGCCCCAGGGGCCACATGGCCCTCCCCCAAGGGGGGATCGGGCCCGAGGTCGGGCGGCGGCCACCCCCTCCCGTGACTAGGGGTCGGGCTCCCCCGACCCCCTCTCTAGGTCACCATGTACGGTGGGTTAAGTGTCCGCCTCCAGGTGCCCACCTACCCGCATTTATGGCGGCCCGAGTAGTCGCGCCATGCCGCATTTAATGCGGTGTGCAATGCACTCAACCGGTCTGTGACCGGTCGAATGACCGATGGGACTGGGGTAGTGCGCCTGTGCGCTGCTCGTGTGTCAGGCGACGTGCAGCCTGACATGTCCCATCAAATAATGATGGTGAGAGGTTCTCATCCTCTTATCCCAGCCGGAGTCGGTCCTCCCGCTCTGGTCAAAGCAAGGCTCCCGTTTCCCGGTGTAATAGGAGCCCAGAAGTCCTCACCCATTAAATGGTGAATGACAGGAGCACCCCCTGTGTCAGGCGGCAAGATTTGACAGGCCTCGTCATCAAGATGACGTGCGCTTGCTTCCCAAGTCAAGAGACAAGACATGCATTTAATGCAAAGATTGTAATCCTTCTCCACTAAGTTATGTTTTTTGGCCCATGTGGTAACCCCTTGAGATATAAAAGGAGGTCCAGGCCTAGTAGGAGGGGGGGGCTGGAGCCCCTGATGATCAACACCTTCTACCCCCAACAAGGAGATCTTGTAATTTCTCACAAGATCAGCTAAGCACAGAAGTAGGGTATTACGCTTCTCAGCGGCCCGAACCTGTATAAACTCCTTTTGTCTCATCATCTTGGAGGGGGATAACTCCCTCAAGATGACACAGCTTCGCTCACCAAGCCCTCGAATCTCACCCGCTGCCCCTGGCCGAACTCATGAAGGGGGGCCTCACGGTTCCCCGGTGGAGGAGTTCATTCTCCGACAAATGCATTAGTGAAACATCAACAAATGCTTGTTGGAACATTTCAGTAACAGTGTGTGCAACATTTAAAAAGTAAAATTAAAAGTCGTCGGAATGTAGTCATGTGATATCTTGTTATAAAGATTTAATTGTAACGAATCCAATGATATAATTAGATTGAAATTCGGACAAATAGTTTAAGAGAAAAAATCATTTAAATTTTGAAATATATTTGCATGCATGCTCCATTAGCTTATCAGTACACCTAACCAACTGTTTCACCATGCACCTACACTGTTGTTCTTTTAGATTGAGACGTCCGATTTTTTATTTCTGGCCGGATGGCCAATGGTAAGCATTTTCGAGGAATTAATGTTATATATTTGGTTGTTGAGGGACACGATTCAACTAGGACAAGAGAGAAAAGAGAGACATAAGAGACTTATTATTTCCCCTATATAGTAACAGCCCAAGAAAAATCCCAACACTAGCCCACACCGATTCTTTAGGCCTTTGGAATCCCAGAAGAAGCCCATATCAGAGTCGAAGTAGGCCGAGTTTTTTTTGGAAATAATATTATTTTAATGGAAAATCGCAAAATTATAGGTCAGTTAGACGAAATCGCAAGTTTAGCACCCTGTCGAACGGAGGCAGTTCGAAAGGGCAGTTCGACAGGTAATAAAATAACATAAAAAAAGGAAAAACACTGTAGCGACACTGTAGCGACGCTGCCTATCGAACTCCCGCTGTTCGATACGTCCATGCCACGCGCCCTATCGAACTCCCCCTGTTCGATACGTCCCTATCGGGCACTGTAGCAAGTACTTTTTTATTTTTTTTCTTGGACAACTAGCCTATCGAACTAGGGCAGTTCGACAGTACCCAGTTCGACAGGGGTACCTATCGAACTGCCCCAGTTCGACAGGGCGCTAAACTTGCGATTTCGTCTAGCCGACCTATAATTTTGTGATTTTCCATTAAAATAATATTATTTTCAAAAAAAATTCGTTTGTAACTCGTATTGCTAAAGGAAATATCAGCCACAAAGCCTCTGAAGTCGAGAGAAAAAAACATAAACCGTCAGATTCAAATCGTAGGGGAGAGTTAAAAGAAAAAGGAAAAAGAAACCCACACACGTAGCTTCTCGAATTCTCCGGCGACTCTCCTACCGTCTCAGACCTAGACCTCGCAGGCGGAGGCGGAGGCGGAGGCGGAGGCGGCGGCGGCGGCGGCGGCGGCAGAGGTATGGCACCTGTCTCTACGGGACCCAGATTTAGGCGGAGGAAGTCTAATGCACCGAGGGCAACAAGTCGAAAGCCGGACAGCGGGGTGCCTGTCGCTGCCGATGCCGATGCTGCGAAAGAGGGCGATGCGCCGGGGTCGGGGTCGACGACGAGGGTGACCCGTTCGAGGGCAGCAAGGTGCCGGCCGGGGTCGCAGGAGCCCCTTCCACCACCATCGGAGCGATCCCGATCCCGGAGGACGACGCTGGCCACTGATACGGCAGTGAGAGAGCGCAAAAGGATTCGGGCCAATCTCATTGAGGAGGAAAAACCGCTGACGAAGATGGAGGAGGTAGGGGGGGAGGAGATCTCGTCCGCACCGAGCTCTCCCCTCTGTGAGCCCTACTTGCCTGATGACCAAGAGATTGATTTCGACACCATTGATCTTTACAAGAAGAAATCAAAAGAATTCCATAAAAAAAGAGGTACTATTCAACTCCCCCTTTCCTTATACAGTACTACCATTCAAAACTAAGCGCTATGTTCATTAAATGTGCCATGACTCATCATTTAATATTTAATAATGTACTAATCTAGTCATGACTCATCTCATAATGTTAGCTATGATATTCAATGATGTAGTAAGTTACAAGGTGGGAGAGATGATCTATGCATTGATGTTGGTCTTATTTTACAGCTCATCAACTTAGCTTTCCTACACTGAATACGGATGTATCTTCTTCTTGTCTGCTTCACCCAAAGTTACTCGACATCCGTGAATCTGCAACAAAGTCGATACTTGGTGCTGCAAAATATGTTCTGGGTCTTTCATCTTGCATTGGTACACAATTTGTACCTCTTATTTACTGCTATAGAAAATTTGCTATGTTTGATAATATTACGTATATATTCGCAGATGGAAATCCCTTAGCACGCTGCTCTGGATTTCTGATTGATTGGAATGAAACAACGAAAGTTGGTGTTGTTATTACATCTGCTGATATTATTTGCTCAGCATCATCCTTAGACCGTTGGTCTGGTGATGATGAATATTCTTATTCTGCTAAGGTATGTTGCTGAAGGTTGAGTTTATTTGTTATAAAGCTAGGGAAAATAGAACTAAGAAAACACCGCCTCATTCACTTTGGTACTAACACAAAAGAAATGCTATTTGTATGCAACATTTCATAAGTCATAATGCATGCACATAACATTGTACACAGTTCTCATTCACTTCATACATCCAATACTATATGTTGGGCACTTGGGCTACTATTTATTGTTTTTATAGAGATAGTATACTTCACGTGAACTCTCTATTTCTTACTAATGTTCTGAGACCAGTTGGGAAGGTCCATCATACTAAAAATAAGAATGTCTGCGATGACCACCTCAACCAGCATAATTTGGTTTCCAGTGGAGAGCTCAAGTTCTTTCCAACCTAGAAAATTAGTCCGTCATATTGATAAGACATTCTCATTGCATGGTTTACTTGAGTATATATGTAGTTCCACATATTTGCTTGGGAAGGAAATTGTAGAAGACAAAAAAAAAACAATGAAATATTGTAATTCGTTTGTGCTTCACATTGACATCGAAATGCTGAACACACTGAATTTTGTGCAAAGAGGATACTATTGATTGAAGCAGTCTTTCCTAGTTCTTGTTTTGTTCCTAGATCTGATTGAGTAGTGTAGAGTGCGAAACAATGCCTATAAATAGGATTTCTAGGTGGCATGTTGATCACTAGGTTTGAGGACCAGGGCATTGATTGACAACACAAAGAACAATGTCCAGCCATTGTGTAACATTTTTATCACTCCCAAATAGGGAAATACTACCTCCATTCCAAAATATAGCAGCTTTTGGCTATGCATCTGGACAATATTTTGGGATGGATGTAGTTACTTATTTCCTTCTTAGCCTTATTATATTTAACTCAATCTCAAAATCGCTTGATGCTTCAAATATTTCCCTACTATTTACGGTGCAAAGTCTCTAGTATCAATTTAAATGCTATATATTTGAATTTGACTCTTCCAGAAAGCATACGCAACATTTAGCCTTTTGTCTAAAATGGTCATGATCATTTGTTTTCGGTCCTTTTGTCATGTGTTCCCTAGATGATTTAATAATTTTATACATTTTGCAATAAATGTTTTAGGTCTTTGTGCACCTACTGGACGACACCACGGTGGAGGGGCGCTTGATTTATGCTCAGACACACTACAATCTTGCTTTGTTCGAGATTATAGTGGAATCCCCAGTTCAGATACCTAATTTTACTTTCAACCTGAATTATGCTCAACAAATATTTGTGTTAGGAAGGGATGAGAACTTGTGTCTAAGTATAAGTCATGGCAAAGTACAATACTGCAATCCGTTTTTGTGTGGTCGGCATCACTACATGTATGTTGATACTGCCACCCCTAAGGTATCTTCGTTTTATTATAATCATTTTAATTTTGAACTATATGGTATACGATTTATATCTTTTAATATAGTTAATTTTTGCTGTAAATATTGTAGTGTGCCTTGGGAGGGCTAGTCATTGACTTTGAGGGGAGCACGGTGGGGATTGCTTGTCAGACACATGCTTTTATTCCCTCCTCGATACTTATCAAGTGCTTACATCTGTGGCGGAAGATCCAGTGTGTTTTCTTTTCATTTTTCTATAATATTGCGAAAATATTTTTGTTCTTTTTTTGTTGTTATTCAAAGTTGGATTATAGGGTTGACCTTCCTAGATTAAGATAGATGACCTAGAAGACTTTTTAATGTATGCTGTAACAGTATCATGTCATGCGAAAACATAATGTGTGATTTCACTTGTATTATTGTGAAGGTATCTCTTATTGATAATTTTATATTATTTGCTGCAAATCAATGACCATAAGATAACTTAGCAATACAGTTCTTATTAGTTTAATGCTTATTGTTTAAAGGAATCATTTCAAAATTTTACTAAAAGATCATATATAAAATTATGTAGGGATTATAGTCTTGGGCGGACATGATTTTAGAATACATCGTATAGCTCTGTTAAACTGCTTTTTTATACATATTATTTAAATTTCAGTCTAAATATTTTATTTTACATGCTTTATTCTGCTTTGTACCTCCTTTTGAATTCTAATGAACAATTATCTGGCAGAGGTGTATCCCCCGCCCTCAACTTGGGGTCAAGCTTTCAGCCATTAAATTTCTGGACCTTCCTCATATAGAGATGATATTACGCAAGATCCATATTTGCGATGGGCTCATTGTCGAAGAAGTATATAGATTGTTTACTATTGTAGATTTTGATTTACTTAAGATGTATGCCCCTGTCATGTAGTAATTCTTATATCAACTGAAATTAAATATAGGTGTCATCAGGGTCTACTATTGAGAAACTGGGAGTCAGAGTCGGCGATATCATTCAGCATTTAAATGGAGAATGGGTTTCTGATACAATTCAGGTGAAAATAATTTTTTGTATGGCATTTGGATACTTTATGTTGGCTTCTGTAACCTTTTTATTGATTGTATTAGTTAGAAGAAATGTTGCTGAGACTTTCTGAGGATCATTTTGACAAAGGAAATGGTCTCAATTCCACATTGGACATTAAAGTATGTTTATTGTTTTTAACTGTGAATTGCTTTCTTTGTGTCTTTTTGTGTTTTTTTATTGAATTACTCAAATATGAGTTGATTTTGTAGGTTGGTTTGTTTCACATACGCAATGGAGCTCGAAACACCATAAATTTGACGACAGTTGTCTCAGAAAATGGAGAAGTTGTTAAGAGGGGTATAAATATACACAAATATTTTTTTTTGTATAAATATACACAAATATTTTTTTTCTATTTTAATATTGAAAAGAGGATATTTGTATTGCTAGTATATTTTATAACAATGATATACACCTAAGACTTGCATATATACTTCTTTTCTGTTTACAAAGATACAAGAACATCGGCCCAAATGTACTTGAATGCATACTTTCATCTGTTTACAGATACATAATATTTGCCTCAATAAACCACTAAAATAGTTTATTTTACTGATTAGGTTCATTCGCTGTTTCTGTCCCTACTCGGGAGGAGATTTCTGCTATGTACGCACTTCAGGAAGCAACTACAGGCATGTGAACTTTTCTATATCTGTGTTAATTATGATGTAAAAATGTGCAGTGTTTTTTGTCTTGCAATTCTTTAAGTGTCTTAGTGCCATGTGAGGCTGTTAGCCATTTCCCTATACTCGATGTCTTGTGTGGCCTGTCGATGTCAATGTAGTGAGCTTTCATGTTGCCAATGATTTAAGTTGTTGTATTCAGTAATCTTAGCAAATGTTTCTCTAAAAAGGAATTTTTTTTTATATCCCTTCTCCATATCCTCTGATGGATTTTATTTTTCTATGCTTGCTTTGGTTCCAAAGATTTTATACTGCTAAAACAATAGAGATGTATCTTGCCAAGTTTGTGAAAGCCTAAGGAATAAAACCAAAAAGTTCACAATCCTAAACACTGTCACTTTAGAATTAGCCTATTAGTTTGCAGTAAACATGTAATGTGAATAAGAGTTCCAAAGGCACAACAAGTGTTTTTGGAAATTTGCTAGTACAATTTACAGGAGTGAAGAATAAATCATTTTTATTTCACAAAAAAGAATCAAAATATCGCCATTGTCTTTTTCTTTTTTCAGCAAATTGTAGTTAGTGTATAGATGCTTTTGTTTATCTTGTTATTTTGGTCTCACTGCATCATCTTCGTATGGCCCTTCAATGTTTCTGGAGCTCTAGTGTTTCGCAATGTGGGGACTCTGGCATTTTCTTTCCTTTATTTGCAAAGTCTATCCTATGATCTGACCTTTTTTACAAAAATGGAGAGAAGTTGCCTTTGATTGCCTGTAACATGTACTCCGTCGTTTTCCTTTATGACCATGTCTCTGATGTAGAACCTGACATGTGTAGATGCTTTTGTTTATCTTGTTATCTTGGTCTCACTGTCATCATCTTCGTATGGCCCTTCAATGTTTCTGGAGCTCTAGCGTTTCGCAATGTGGGGACTCTGGCATTTTCTTTCCTTTATTTACAAAGTCTATCCTATGATCTGACCTTTTTTACAAAAATGGAGAGAAGTTGCCTTTGATTGCCTGTAACATGTACTCCGTCGTTTTCCTTTATGACCATGTCTCTGATGTAGAACCTTAACATGTGTTGTAGCTATATCTGATTGAAACATCTCATTTGGCAGTCTTTTCGATCAGCAAAGTAATGCCTGATGATTGGAGCCCTTATGGTGTCTCCATTTATATCAGCAGCAAATAAGATGATTAAGCCAATTATATTATTTGTCTCTCGTGCATGTATGGATATTCAGTCATTTTTTATTTTATGGCTTTTATGTTTAATTCTTTTTTTCAGATATTGTTAGAGTTAGAGTTTGTAGTACTATTTACATTCAAGAATCTATCACTATCAATTCCAGGAAATTAAGAGGATCTGGTAGACTTCTAAGGCAAAGCATTAAAAAAATATTGACCTCTTTGTATTCTACGCCGCTACGCGAAAGCTATAGTATATTCTGAAAGAAATCAGAATAGTGCAATTTTAGAACATAAAGTAGTAGTCATTTATGTGTTTATTTTTCAACAACATTGGTATGATGACCAGGAAGGTTAGGAGGGAATCTTTGCTTGAATTGTATGAGATGCAATACGTTTTGCTGTTATTCACTTTGTTGCTATCTGAACATGTGTTAATACCTTATCTTCTATGAATTGCTGATAAGTTGAGCATTTTGTTTTGCTCAAATGCTGAAACGTTGTATTCATTTTTCAGGATCTCCCATGCTCACTACTGAAGAGAGGAAACCCACCTAATCCATAACTAGACCGGGCTTCGTTTTAATCTGATTCATGCTATTATCAACTTGTACATTGATAGTCTCATCATACGCCTGTTACCTCTTCTACCTCTGCTATTAATATCAACTTTTTTAACAAAGATGGTCTAGTACACTACTGGCATTTTCTGTTCTCTCATGCAGTTTCTTGGAATGTAACGTTTCTTTTATATCCTTTTGAGATTCCTCAACCATGTAGCTATAGCTATGTGTGGACATGGAAATCATGTCCATACAACATGTTTATATGCAGAAAACTTCTAGCTTTATAGTTACTTTGCAACTGGGAAGGTTAAAATTATGGTATATGCTAGATGATGTACTACGCTTTGCTGCGGAATATATGAATGAATGTATGTTGAATGTAGTAAAAATGATGGATGGATTTTGGTTGAAATATTATGCAATGATGTGAGGAATAATAATTTAGCATATAGCATAGTGTTATATGCTAAATTATTAACTATAATTTAAGTTAATTTTGAACACAGATGATATGGTATACTTGCATTTTAAGTTTAGGTGTATTAATTATTAACTAGAAAATAGGCGCGTCGATTAGTATGGCCTGTGGTGGTATTGTTGATCCTATTCGGGATACATAAACTGGTCATTTTTTTTATTTTTTTTTTCTTGAGATATTTGAAAACTTTACTCTATGCAAACAGAAGGAAAGAGGCTCATAAAAAAAGAAAATATTGGAATGAAAACCTCCGGAACACATGACCCACTGTGTAGTTAGACATATTCTGACTTGGTGACATGAATAGATCGATGTATGTGAAATTCATATACTTAAGACCTAGGGAGATTAAATGTATGGGGTTATCTACAAAGTTAGTTTTTATTTTTATTGATTAATAATTCTAAAAGATTGGAATATTTGTGATATTCCTATTTGAAAAAAACAATATGAAAATGTATAATTCTCATCAATATATGTTATAAATTGGCAACAAATTCTAAGACCTTGTTTGAATGGGAAGGACTAATTTATAGACATATTAGTTCCTCTTTTTTTTTTCTCTCCGTTTCTCTAGATCTCTCCATCCCGGCATTATCCTCCTCTGTTATTTCTCCCTCCCTTCTCTTATTTTCTCTCTAGATCAATCCTCCTATGTTTTCTTTTCTAGAAAAATTAAAAAAAAATTTGGTAAATTCTAGACTTGAACCTATAATCTCATAGTTCATAATAAGTTCTTCTAACCAATTCATCTCATGATGCTATTTGTTTCAAGGATTATTGCTTGTTTCTTTTTTCTCACTTTGTGACAAAGGAATATGATGACTGATTCTAATCTCTTTCACTACCACCGTAGAACAAAATAGGTACGTTACTACGAAATTCATTGCATGTTACTATGTTCTAGTAGTAACATTATCGTAGAAGTGCAGTAACACGCCACGTTACTGTAGAATATATAGGATGTTACTACACACATTTGACAGCAACATTGTGGTGAAATTGCAGCAAACCAGAAATCGAAACAAAAATATAAGGATTAAAAGTCTCACATGCTAAATATACTTGTTACCGCACAAAAGTGGAAGTGTTACTGCAATTCAGGTACACGTTACCACATGTTTATGGTAATACTATTAAAAAATGGTAGTAAGCCGCTTTGTTATTGCAAAACTTATAGCCTTTACTACACTCTTACAATAACGTCCTGATGAGATTGTAGTAACTTATAACATAAAATAGTAACATATGTAATGCTATAGTATTACTACTTGTGAAGAGTTAAATTTCAAAAGATTAATATTTGAAGAGCAATATCTCTATACTATTTTTAAACCGTTTGCACCACGATGCTAGAAAAAAGTGCTTACCAAAAATAGGTCCATCTTGATTATATTTGAACCATATTTGATCGTTGTTACCACACATAAGACATGATATTACTACGCAGTGGTCGTCGTGTGTTTGCACTCTTGCGATGCGAGAGCTAAGAAGAGGTGGGTTGTCGGGGGAGTCAGCAGGCGGGTTGTAGACTTGCTATTAAGAGGCAATAAAAGTTGTAGACTGACTAATCACCCCTCCTCTCCTGAATCGTTGCTCTCCCAATCCTTCACAAAACACTCCAAACAATCACCATTCCCTCTCGAAGGTTCCAAGTAGAAAATATGTATGTAATAGGGATTAAACAACCTCTCATGCAATGTCTTTTCCTCCTTGAAAGAACATCGATAACTTATTTATTTTTACTGTGTTCATGCAGTAAGTTTACTAAGCAATTATAGTAACACACTATATTACCGTAAAACATGTAGTCGTTATTGTACTCTTGCAGTAACACGGAAGACGCGGTAGTAATGGTAATGCTATAGTGTTAATCCATGTGGAGGATAAACATCAAAATACCAATTTTTGAAGAGCAATATCTCACAATATATGTATTGTTTTTAAAAACCATTTTCACCATAATGTTGTAAAAAAAAGTCCTTATCAAACTAGATATGTCATGACTATATTTAAATTATATTTTAACATCGTTACTGCAAATAAGACATGGTGTTACTGTACAATGACCGTCACGTTATTGCATCATTCCTACGGGACGAGAGCTGAGACTGAGAGGAGGTGGGTTGTGGGGAAAGTCCCCCAAACGAGTTGGACCGGGATTTGACCGACGTGAGGGCGCTTTGACCGACATTTGACCGAGGTGGAGGTGGGTTTTGGGCTCTTCGAAGGAGGGGAGGTGGGTTTGGCTCATGGGAGGGAGGGGGTATAGAATAGCGTATGCTTTTCATAGAAGTGAAGCATCTAGGCCCCATTGTTAATTTTGGTAATTAATGACAAGCACTAATTTTGGACTAACGGTTGTCTTTGAGATATTTATTTTGGGTTAGGATCACTTATTGTGTGCACATGGATGATCACCGAAGGATTAAATTTGACAGCGCAAAGCAAAAGGAAAAGAAGACGATAAAACTAGTGTTTTAAGTTCAAATTGATCGAGGTGGAGGGCGATCAAATTTGCTAGTTTATTTTTAGCTTCGCCGTACTATTAAGAGGGGCAATGACCTAGCAAAGAGATGATTTAAATTGCCACATTAGGTTATTATGCATTTAGACTTGTGTTCGCATTTAGACTCCCACATTTCATTTTATGCATTCACTGTGTGGACTGACCAGGGCCGGTCAGACCGAGGCTTGTATGCCAGTCTGACCGGCGGGTTGCGGCCGGTCTAACCGCCGGCTATAGCTCGGTCTGACCGGCCCCCTAGTGGCCGGAAGGTTGCGCTTTGGGTGGCCGATACAGAGCCGCCAGAGCCGAGGTCGGTCAGACCGAGCTGGTGGCGGTCTAACCAAGCCTAGGCCGGTCTGACCGGCCACCCTATGTCGGTCTGACCGGCCAGGGCGGTAGGGCCCAATGACAGGCTTACAATGGCTAGAAAACTAGCCGTTGTAGAGTAGCACAGTCTGATCGGTTACACACCTCCGGTCAGACCGGCAGTACACAAAATTGGGGGATTTCACACCCAATGGCTAGTTTTGGTGGATGTGAGTATAAATACTCCCCCACCAGCAGCAAGGGTACTCTCTCTTGGCACCCACTTCAATTGCATACACCCCTTGCACCTCTCTCACACTCACTTGAGCTTTGGGTTCATCCATAGAGTGTGTTTGAGTGTTGATTTAGCCAAGAGTCAAGTGCATTGCTTTATTGTAGAGCTAGTGTGGCACTTGATCATCTCCGAACCGCGTCATTGCTTGTTACTCTTGGAGGTTGCCGCCTCTTAGATGGCTTGTGGAGTTGCCCAGTGACCTCTCTGAGAAGATTGTGGAGGAGGCTCGGCGCCGGTTGTGAGTGGTTTGGAGTTCATCACCTTTGGAGTGAAGGAAGAACTACCCCTAGTGATCAAGGATTGGGTAGTCCTCTCCTTGGGCCGGCTCCTGCCTTGCCCACCCCTTGACGAAGGGGGCGTGTGGTAGCCAGTCAAATTTCTAGAATAGGGCTGCGGGCAGGAGGGCTTTGTTTGTGCAATCTTGCTCGCAACACCCTCTCCGTGGCTTCGTGGTTGAGCGGTTGAGTTGGGCTCGCCTCAACGGGGAGTAGGAAACCGGCGAGTTTCCGAACCTCGGTGAAAAATCTCTTGTCTACTTGTCTCATTTATTTGTCGCGTTTATATTTGTGCAATTTACATTCCTAGAGACATTCTTGAGATCATATCACCCTAGGATTGCTAAACTTAACTTAGGAGTGTGATTTAAACTAGAGATATACTTGAGCCATTATCACCCTAGGTTTGCAAAACATAACTTAGTTGCTTAGTTAGAATTGACACTCGCCGAGCCTAGCAACTTAGGTAAGTTTTGATTAGGTGTCATTTAGTTTTTAAATCGCCTATTCACCCCCTCTAGTCGACATCTCAATCCTACAAGAAGTGGTACCCTGCTCAGAAGTATCCACAAAGCGAACTACAACCTAAAATAGTAGTTAATTATTGCATTATATTTGTGAGAGCGTAGAAACTAAAACAAACCAGATTGAAATTATCATAATATTTAACAGAAAACAATACACTACTGTCTGTATTTTCTAGAGAAGTCTAGCATATTATATCCAATATGCGACTAGGAATCTTGAAATGAGATAGTACCTCCCAGTTCCAAGCTTTAGTGAAAATGACATTATAACTAGGAAACATATCCTATGCACAGCTTTCCGTGAACACCAACTAACAAATATCATAGAAAGTTTTAGAAAAATTAGACACATACTTCCAATAATATTGCACAGTGAAATATTATTTTCAAATTCATTATATTTTAGCCGTTAAAAAAAGACACAAAGAAGACAAAATTCTGACACCCTTAAAACTGTCAGATTTTTTTTTACTTTTTTGTTACGGCTAAAATACAATGAATTTGAATATGAGACTTTGCAGATATGTGCAATACTATTGTAAGCATGCGTCTAATTTTTTCAAGAATTTTTCGTGACATTTGCTAGTTGGTGTATACGGAGTGTGCATCGAAAACTTGTGTACATAGGATATGTTCCCTTATAAGTAAGCCCATGTATTCCATTTATATTCTTTCATCCCTTCTCTATTGGCCATGTTCTTTTCTCCAATAAAAGTTGGATAAACTTTTGAATACTCGTGGCACGCTTTTCAACTGCTAAACGGTTTAGTGTTCAGTACTACTCCCTCCGTCCCATAATATAAGGGATTTTGAGTTTTTGCTTGCAACGTTTGACCACTCGTCTTATTCAAAATTTTTTGAAATTATTATTTATTTTATTTGTGACTTACTTTATTATCTACATTACTTTAACCACAACTTTTCATTTTTTATATTTGCAAAAAAAAATTGAATAAGACGAGTGGTCAAATGTTGCAAGCAAAAACTCAAAATCTCTTATTTCGTGGGACAGAGGGAGTACT